GAGCTCTGGTAGCCTAATGCTTAAGGCACTTGATTGCTAACCAGGAGGCTGGCGGTTCAAACCCACCAGCCACTCCTCGGAAGGAAGATGGGGTAATCTACTTCCATAGTGATACAGCCTCAGAAACCCAAGGAAGGGTCGCTAAGAGTCGGGTCTGACTCAATGGCACATAACAACAACAATTGAGGAAAAGGTTAAAATTTCTGGACTCTGTACCTCAGGAATTTATAAGTTAGGGGGAGATTCTAAGGTTTGTGAAACCATTAGGCAGTAATAACACCAAGCCCATTAAGAGTAAAAATATTGCAGTCCTCAGAGAAGGGTGCTGGCCCTGATGCTCTAGATAAGTTGATGGCTAGAAAACATCAGGAAGAACATTTAAGATTGAAGGAACATTGTAAACAAAGAGAGGGAGAGGACATTATAAGATTAAAATTCTCAAATACTGTGTTAATTACAAAGTGTTCATATTTTTTATTAGATATGTTGAGAGCTTTTAAAATAGTATTTCCTACCATTAGACATTTAAATATGAAATACTGTGGCAGTTCAACTCACTAACAGTGATGTGAAAGTTTAATTATATAATAAGCAGCTCAAAACCAGGATTAGATACTTCCAAGTCATATTTTTGCACCTTTTGACCTGTTGATGTGGATTATATTTATGTAGAAATGAATATGTAATAATTAACACTTATTGAACAGCTGCTCTGCATAGGCTCTTTTCTGAGGGTTTTAAATTTAAGTCACTTAATTATTACAGCAGCTTCTGGTGGCATAGACCTAAGGCATTTGACTGGTACCCAAAAGGCTGGTGGTTCAAACCCATCAGCCACTCCTTGGAAGGAAGATTGGGCCATCTACTTCTGTAGTGATACCACCTCGGAAACCCAAGGAGGGGTCACTATGAGTAGGATCCGACTCGACAGCAGTGAGTTTGGTTTATTTATTTTTTTGGAAGGTGAGTACAGTTATTATCCTCATTTTTCAAAAAGATTGAACTTACTTTTCCAAGATTCTTGAATTGATATTCAGTGTGATTGCTGTACTCTTTATGAAAAATTTTCACTTTCTGAACCTCTCTCTCAAAAAAAAAAAAAAAAAAATTTACATAGTCTTTGCTTTGGTGACATGTTTTTGAAGCATGTTTAATTTTTTTTTAAGACTAAACTGGAAATCCAAAAAGCCCTTGCAGAAGATGCTACCGTGTATGAATATGACAGTATTTATGATGAAATGCAGAAAAAAAAGGAAGAAAGTAATCCCAAATTGCTTTTGGGAAAAGATCGAAAGGTTTGTAAGTGAAAATACAAACTTTCTTTGACTAGGACCGGCAGTTTGTATCTTAATCGTCCTTCAGCATGAGGATGATCTGAATAAAAAACTTTCAGTTATTTGAAGTGTGAAGAGCAAGAGCCCCTAGTTTCAGATATTAGAGATTTGATTTAAAACTCAGGAAGCCCGGTATATAGAATTTTACAGAAGCAAGTGAATTTTCTAACAATTTCATTAATTTTGTTTGTATTAAAAGCCTTGTAAATATTTAAAAATTTTATTGTATATATTTTGTGTACTAAATTTATACTTTTCTTGTTTGTTAATGTTTTATTATCCTCTCATTTTTTTTCAGTTAGTGCTTCCTAGCTGGTAACTGGATTATCATGTTTTTAATTAGAAAAAAAAACTTCAGGGGGAATTGAAATTTTTCTTTCTTTCACTCTTAGTCTTTCACAAACATAGACTGATTTAAGGATCTTTGCATCTTTCAAAATCTGTTGGTACTCAGTAGATATCACTACTCAGTGATAAAAAATTATAGTTACTACTTTAAATAGTCCTGTTTCTACTAAGTGAAAAATTAGTAGGAACTTTTCTGTTGATTCACTTATTTGTTGAAGCATTAAAAGAATACCAATAAAAACGGTGAGACAACACTAGGAAAATTTGAGTCTAAAAAGAAGTAAAATAGCATCATGAATGGTTTCTGTCTCTATACTTAAATTTTTATTGAAAACAACTTTTATTCTAGTTAGTAAATTTATATTGAATTTTGAGAATATAATCCTACCTGTTTGGATTGGCCATTTCTATCTTATGAATTTACTCATGATAAAAAATAGAATACAAACAATTACTATTTTTGGCTCTTTCCTAAATAAAAAATTTTTCCCTCTAGCCAAAGTATATTCATAGCTTACTAAAAGCAGTTGAGATCAGGAAAAAGGAGCAAGAAAAAAGAATGGAAAAGAAAATTCAAAGAGAACGAGAAATGGAAAAGGGAGAATTTGATGATAAAGAAGCATTTGTGACATCTGCTTATAAGAAAAAACTACAAGAGAGAGCTGAAGAAGAAGAAAGAGAAAAGAGGGCTGCTGCACTCGAAGGTGAGTTGAGGGTAAGGGAGGAGATAGAAACCAAAGAAGCAGAATTCTGCCCTGTGGTTAGCCATTGCTTTGTTAGTGAACCCTTGGATTATCATGTTATGGTCATAATTTATGTGTATGAATTCAAGATACAAGATATGCTATTATATAATATTATAAAGCAAGGAGAGATATTAGCTAAAATAACAGTTGAACTCTTCAGTAGCTGTTATTTCTACGGGACTTTTCATTTTGTTTAAAGCTATGATTATTACAAGTCATTGCCTTAGAACATGATTCCGAATATAAAAGCATTCATTTCAAAGTATAACACTATAACATTCATCAGCAACAATATAAACTGAGATTTAAACCCTAGTTATGTTTTTGAAATGAGAAAATCTAGAGTGTAATATACCACTTAGAGAATAGCAACTGGGCATTTAGAAAAAGAAAACAAACGTTTAGGGGCTAAAGAATATGTTAATGTTTACTTTTGTGCTTTCTATTAATAGTCATTTCTTTAGATCTAAATAGAATATATACTTACAAATGGTTTAATTGGAATAAGTGCTCATCAAGTTTAAATAGAAGCAAATCATATTTATAAGACTGTCCAGGCATGTATTATGTTTTCATCCATAGTGGTCAGCAAACTTCCTGTAAAATAGTAAATATTTTAGGCTTTGTGTGCCATAGAGCTTCTGTTGTAACTCTCAACTCTGCCTTTGTAACTGAAGAGCAGTTGTAGATAATTCGTAATTGCATGAGCAGGGCTGTGTACCAGTAAAACTTTATTTGCAGAAACAGGTAATGGTCCATATTTGGTCTGCAGATACTATATTTTGCCAGCTCCTGGTCAAAGAATAGGTGTATGTTATACACTCTGTGCTTATAAAACTGAACTGCATTGTGCCTTGTTAAATATAGTTGTCTCACTTTTGCTTTCCCTTTCTTAGCAAGTTTGGATGTAACCAAGCAGAAAGATCTTAGTGGATTTTATAGGCACCTATTAAATCAAACAGTTGGTGAAGAAGAAGTACCTAACTGCAGCTTTCGTGATGCCAGGTAAGATGTGGAATATTTAGAAGAAAGATACTGTTCCTAGACTATGATTGTGGGGTCTTTAACCCTCTGAAAGATGGAAGATTGCAGCATTGCTTGTTGTTTTGTGAGCCAAACCTGACTTAACTGATTGAATGGCTAGTTATTTGCAAGCAGTTTATTTTTAAAAACTTTTTATGATGATTTAGGTGAAAGTTTACAGAGCAAGTTGGTTTTCCATTCAATGATTCATATATATTTTGACAGCAATTGCAGTCCTCAAAATGTAACATCTTCCCCACTTCCTACCTGTGTTTACCATTTGCATTTGTCCTTGTTTCTGATCCTCTCCTGCCTTCTAAGCTTTATCTCTGGGCATATGCTGCCCTTTTGATCTCATGATTGGTTGTTCTAGGGAGTGTGTATCTCCCTAGTGTTACTGTTCATCTTACGGCCTGTGTATTGTTTGGCTGAAAATTGAGCCACAAGGGTGAGTTTAGTTCCAGGCTTGAAGAGTATCTAAGGGTCATAGTCTTGGGGGTTCCAGCAGTTCCTATCAGAGTAAGCCTGGTCTTTTTTATGATTTTGAGTTTCTTTGCACATTTTTCTCCCACTCTATCCAGACCTTTTATTGTGATCCCTTTAAGAGTGGTCATCAGTCGTAGCTGGGCACAATCTAGTTCTGATCTCAGGGACTTGAAGGCTGGGGTTTGTGTGGTCCATTAGTTTTTTGGACTGATTATTTCCATATATCTTTGATTTTAATTCTTCTTTGCTTCGGACTGGGAGAGGCCAATAGTTGCACTTAGGTGGCTGGCCACTCACAAGCTTTTTAAGACACCAGTTGCTACTCACCAAAGTAGGATGTAGAACATTGTTTTTGTGGAGTGTATTGTCAATTGACCTTTATGTCCCCTGAGACTATGGTCCTGAGACCAAGGGCCCAACAACTCATTCTCTGAAGGTATTTGGTTATGACTAAGAACTTTTCATAACTTCGCACTCTGTATGCTCTACTATATTCATGGATATATTGATATTTTTGTGTAAATATATATGTAAAAATATCCTTTGTCAAAGCTATATAATATATTTGTGGATGTAGTCGCATTCACCTTCCTACCCCGTTCAGCTTATGTGTCTATCTTTGTATCCATTCGTGGTTAATTAGTGTTATTGCTGGATTGTGCATGTAATAGTATTTACCTTTGTTGCCTTTATTTACCTTCTAATTAGTGATTTACCCTCCCCCTGTCACCCTTGATAACCTTTAAAGAATGTGTCTTTCCATGAGTAAACTTTTTCTGACTTTTTATAGTAGTTGTCTCGTAATACTTATTTGTCCTTTTCTGATTGACTAATTCTACTCAGCATAATGTTCTCTGAGTTCATCGATGTTAAGAGGTGTTTCACAGATTCATTGTTATTCTTTAATGCTAAGTAATAGTCCATTGTATTTATGTACCTGAGGTGTAGTAAATTACCTGGTATGGCTTTTCTAGCCATAAGTCTTTATAAACTCCATGGTGGAATTTGCTGTGAGCAATTGAGGAGCTCCTAATTGTTAAAGTTATCCACTTGGGGTATTTCTGTTGCAAGTGTCACAAAGCAATGTTCTGGGAAGTTCTCTTTTTCTCAGGTGCTTAGAATTCTGATGTTGTGATTAGTTAGTTTGGCTACTCTACCAGGCTCAAAAGGAGGCCTCCTAGAGACAGAAGTCTCTCTGACTGCTGCCTGTGAAAGATGTGCTGCTGAGAGAAACATGTTCCTGAGAGACACAGGCTGCTGAGAAAGAGAAACAGAGAGACTGTTGGCTGAGAGAATGAGGGCTGACGGAGATTGAGCATTGTTCCTGAACTTGAAATGTAGCCGGGTGCTTCCCTAATAAACCCCACAGTCTGTGAGTTCTGTGTGGCCACTGCAGCAAATTATTGAACCCAGCAGAGAGGTGTGGTGGGTGCTGCAGGAGGAAGGGTTGGTGTCATTGTTGATGAAAGGGCTGGAGGGAGGCAGCATGTCTAGCCTCACAGGAATAGGCCTGGGGCTATTGATGGTAATTCTGCCTTCCTCTTGTGGGGTTAGAGGAGGTCAGAAGATGCGGCCTCCCTGCCCCTTTGGCAGTACCATAGTTTATCTGTTCATGGGCACTTAGTTTGTCACTATCTTTTTTGCCAGTGTGATAATGCTGCTGTGAATATGAATGTGCATATATCTGTTGTCACAGGTCCAAGAGTAGTGGGACTCCTGGATCATACAGAGTTTCTATTTCCAACTTTTTAAGGAAGTGCGCCATACTGCTCTCCAGAGTGGTTTCGTATTTTAAAATCCGACCAGCAGTGTATGAGGTTTCCAGTCTCTCCATACCTCGACGGCATTTGTTGTTTTCTGTATTTTTGAACTTTGCTATTAATGTTGAGGTGATACGATATCTTCTTGTTTTGATTTGCATTGCTCTAATGGCTGATGAGGAGCTCTGGTGGCATAGTGCGTAAGGCATTTGACTGCTAACCAGAAGGCTGGCGGTTCAAATCCACCAGCCACTCCTCAGAAGGAAGATTGGACAATCTACTTCCGTAGTGATACCACATTGGAAGCCCAAAGAGGGGTCGTTTTGAGTAGTATCCAACTTGACAGCAGTGAGTTTCATTTTTCTTTTTTTTAAATGGCTAATAATCATGAGATTTCTTTATGTATTTGTTGGCTGCCTGAATGTCTTCTTTAGTTAATTATCTCTTTATGTCCTCTGCCCATTTTTTAATTGGATTGTTGGTCTTTATGTGGTTGAGGTGTTGAAGTTTTCTTTAAATCTTAGATGAGTTGATTGTCTGATACGTCATTAACAAAAATTTCTTCCCGGTCTGTAGGTTCTCCTTTTGCTTTTCTTGTGAACTCTTTTAACGTGCATAAATGTTTAATTTTAGGTCCTAGTCATCTGGTTTGTCTTTTACTGTTTATATGTTTTTAGTTATGTTGAATAATATATTTATGCCATGTATTAGGACCCCTAAGTTTGCCCTTATTTTTTCTTTGATATCTTTATAATTTTAAGTTTTACATTCAAGTCATTGGTCCATCTTGAATTAGTATTTGGTGTGGTATGTTTCATTTTTCTGCAAATGGATATCCATTTTTGCCAGAACCAGTTGTTAAAGAAATTCTCTCTTCCCCATTTGATGGGTTTCAGTCCTTTGTCAAAGATTAGCTGTCCATAGGTGGATGAATTTACTTCTGGGTTTCCAGTTCTGTGCCACTGGTCTGTATGTCTGTCATTGTACCATTACCAGGCTGTTTTTACTACTGTGGCTGTATATTAGGTTTTGAGATCAAGGGGGCCTCCTACTTTGTTCTTTAATATTCCTTTCCTTATCTGGGATTTCCTTTCCATATGAAGTTAGTGATTAGTTTTTCCATCTCTTTAAAGAATGATGATAGAATCTAGATTGGGATTGCTTTATATGTATAGATCGCTTTGTGTAGTATTGACATTTTCACAGTGTTACATTGTTTTTGTATCAAAAAACATAGTATAGTCTTCATTTATGTAGGTATCTTTTGGTTTCTTACAGTAGTGTCTTATAGTTTTCTTTGTGTAAGTCTTTTGTATCTCTTGTTAAGTTTATTCCTAAGTACTTTATTTTTTGGATGGCTGTTTATAAATGGTAAATTATTTCGTTTTCAGAGTTCTCTCTGTTACTATAGAGGAATCCAACTGATTTTTGTATGCTGATTTTGTATCCTGGCACTTTGCTGAATCTATTAGTTCCAGTAGTTTTCTTGTTGAGTCTCTGGGATTTTCTGTTTATAGCATCATATCATCTGCAAATAGAAATAGTTCAGTGTCTTCTTTGCCAGTTTGGATGCCTTTTATTTCCCTTTCTTCCCTTACTGCTCTGGCGAGGATTTCCAATACAATATTGAATAAGAGTGGTAATAAAGGGCATCCTTGTCTGGTTCCCATTTGCACTGGGAGTGTTTCTAGTCTCTCTGTGCGGAAAAGGTTGTTGTTGGTTTTATATATATGTCCTTAATTATGTTGGGAAATTTCCCTTCTACTCCTTTTTTGCTGAGCATTTTTATCAAAAACGAATGGGTGTTGGATTTTGTCCTGTCTTTCTGCATCAGTTGATATTATCATGTGGTTCTTTTCCTTTTTTTATTTTTAATGGTGGATTATGTTGATTGCTTTTCTAATGTTGATCCATCCTTATATACCTGGTATAAATCCCACTTGATCGTGATATATTACTTTTTTGATGTGTAACTGGATTCTGTTAACTAGGATTTTGTTGGGAATTTTTAATTCTGTGTTCATAAGGGATGTTGTTGTT